GCTCAAACTCTTTTGTTCCATGACCTCTGCTGCCTCCCGTCACCAGGCCCCAGTAGCTCGAGCAGGAGGTGTGTCCAGACACCAAACAGTGGTCACATGCGTCCATCACAGGGTTCATCCTCGATTTCCTCCCTTCCTGCATCAGTGGGGGAACGATGGAACATTGTAGAATAAGACAGTGCATCAGTCACCATTGCCACAATGACGCTGTGTAACAAACAGCCCCAAACCCAGTGGCTCACAACACTTATTTAGCTCAGGAGTCTGCAGGGCTGGGCCAGGCTGGGCTGATCTCAGCTGGGGTCACTCAGGCGTCTGGGGTCAGCTGTGGCTCAGCTGTTCCTTCTGCCCTCGCTTTCACGTCTGGGGTCTGGCTGGTGTGGCTGAGCCAGCATGGCCTTGGCTGGGATGGCTTGGGTCATGTGTCTCTCAGCAGCAGGCTGTCCCAGGCATGTTCTCATGGGGGGATGGCAAACGCAGGCGCGAGGGCAGGAATCAGCACGTGCCTTTTCAGGCCTCTGCTGGAGTCCCATTTGCTGACATCCCTTTGGATGAAAAAAGCCCCCGTTGAGCCCAGAGTCTAGGGTGCGGGGCAGCTACATGGCAAAGGGCACGGGCCCAGGGAGGGAGGAAGAATTGAGGCTTTTAAAGTGATTGGTGTGTCACAGACGTGTGAGTAGGCTGCAACTTGGTGAGGGTGAGGATTTCAGATTTGGGGCTTCGGGATATTCCACATCCCTCCTTGAAGGGTGAGTGTGAACTCTCAGAGCACATGCTCAGGACGATTTCCTGTTCTTACAGGGACGAGCTGGAGGATCAGGATGTGACCTGGCTGGTAAATTCTAAGCACCTGACTTCTAGTGAGCCCTGGGCAGGAGACAGCCCTGTGAGCCATGACACAACATTAAGGATGGGAACCAAACATGGCTTTGAATTTATTAGTGTCACCAGCTCCCCTAGGAGCTCCACCCTGGGGTCGAGGGACATACCACTGCCCCAGAATCATTACCGCAGGCTTCCAGGAGGAGCTCCGATCCCTCTTGGGGGCTTCAGATAATTGTCACTTCACAGAGCGGAGCACTCTTAGCTCAGTGTGGTCCCCCATGGGCCCCCCACACCCCACATTGCAAATTCCCTGATTCCCAGGATAGGGGGGTCATTTTTATAGATTTTCCCATAATGACCAAACACAAAAACTTACAGGCCTGTGAACAGTTCCTTTCTGGGACTGACTGGTGGCTGTTAAGTGGGATGCTCCTGTGGCCAGCCAAGAGGCTGTCAGCAGGCTTATGCACTGGGGGCAGCGTCCTTCATTGGCTTGGAGACATCTGGAGTCGGGAGCGAAGAGATGAGTTCTATTATATTCATTTTTGATGGCCTGTGCCAGCCTCCAGACTATAGTATCTGGTACTTAGTGGGCACTCAAATATTTACTGACTGTATTGCTACTTTAATTAATTAAATTGAATTTATTTAGTTAATTTAATGAATTGGGTTCTCGGGCCTGGTGGAGAGGAGTGTACTGCCTTCTGTTTCAGGAGATCGTTTCTCAGGCTCATTTTTCTTGTTCCCAATGTCCCTGTTGTCAGGGAGTCACCCAGGCCTTCTGCCTATTAAGCCCCCACGTTGCCTTGTTCAATACAGCTGACTTACACGGTATAATCTTTAAACCTTAGTGTTTTTTCTGTAAAATGGGTATAGACAATATTGACGTCATAGAGATGACTCAGAGGGTGGAACCAAGAGTCCAGAGGGCAGAGCCAAGAGTTGTGGAGAATTCCAGTTGGCTTCTAATCAAGGAATTGGCAACCTGTGCCTGACTATTTCAGAATTGCTGTGGGCCAGTGACTCCTGTGTCCTCCCTCCTTTGGGGACAGAAGTGTCTGGTGAACTTGTATGACGTGTGCTGGGTATCTGGGGCAGATCACCTGTTCACAGGTCTTCAAATGGAGGGGAACTGTCCCCAAGGAGCCTCATCTGCACCTGGTCCTGACTTAGGTGCCGACATCCTGAATTCCTATGGGATGCTCTGAAGGGATGGCCTTGAGAGGGGCAAGTACAGTTTGAATGTGGAGGGTGAAAATTCGTTGTGAGCAGAGAGTGAACCATAGTGTATTATTTATGTATGTATATTTATTTATGTATTTATTTATGTATATATTTATTATGTATGTATATTTATGTATGTATGTAATTATGTGTGTTCTCTAACCCTTTGGAACTCCTCCCCCCAAAAAGTGGAGCCCACTTCCCCTCCCCTTTAGTGTGCGCCACATTAGCCACTTGCTTCCAATGCACAGACTGTGGCGGAAAGGCTGACATGTGACTTCTGAGACTAGGTCTTAAGAGGCACTGTGGCTCCCGTCTCGCTCTCTGGGAAGCCAGCTGTCATGTTGTAAGGATGCTCAAGCAGCCGTGTGGAGAGGTCCACACTGTGAGGAACTGGGGCCTCCCACCAACAGCCACGTGAGGGAGCCATCGTGGAAGCAGACCCTCCAGCCCCAGTCAAGCCTTCAGATGAGTGGAGCGTAGGCCAACATCTTAACTGCAGCCGCATGAGGGACTCTGAGCTAGAGCCACCCAGCTAAACTCCTTCCACAGACCCCCAGAAACTGTGAGATAATAAACACATAGTGTTTTAAGCTACTAAGTTTTGGAGTGATTTATTATGCAGTAATAGCTAAGTAGTACACAGCGCTCTGGGCAGGAGGAAATGCAACGGTGCGTGTGAAGGCTCTGCGGTTTGAAAAGTCTTCACAGAAGTGAGGGGAGGAGTCCCGTGCCTCGGGCCTCAGGGATGTGACTGGCTATCCTTTCGTCTATCAACTTGTGACAGATTGTTTTAAAAAAATGGCATTAATTATGCTGGCCACTGTACCCTCATCCCTTAGCGATGAGACTCTGGAGCTCCTGTCATCAGAAGAAGGTGTCTGTTTGTCCATCCTGTAAACGCGGGTAGTTTCATAGATGCAGAAAAGCCAACTGGATGTCAGTTCCACACCCAGAGGCCTGGCCTGCTTCTGCGTGTTCTCTGGGAACCCTCTGCTGTAGCGTGAATAAGCCTGGGCCAGGTGGCTGAAGGATGTGGGATGAGTGGCCTGGTCTTTCTGTTGTCCCAGCTGACACTGAGCTACCCCTCAGAATCTGAGCCCCCCAGCTGACCTGCAGCTGACACAGACACCTGACAAAGCTCAGCTAAGATCAGAAGAACCGCCCCGTGGAGCTCAGACTAAACTGTCAGCCCACAGAATCATGAGCAAAGAGACGGTTGTCATTTTGAGATAACAAGTTTTGCAGAAGTTTGTTCCACAGCAACCGCTAACTGATACACACTGCTACTCCCCAGGGTGAGCACATGCGTGAATATATAGAGAGCGAAGGTCTCATCCTCTCACTTTGCTCTCCAACCCAATGCCACTCCCCACAGCTCTGTGAGTACCTTTCAAACACATCTGTCTGTCTATCTACCTACCTACCTACCTACCTATTCATCCATCCATCCATCTTTTTACTTCTTTGTCCAAAAGCTGCTTCACCCATAAGGACACTCCCTACTGGTTCTGTTCAGTCCCACTCAGATGAGAGGGTACAAGGACCCCATCCCCACCTAAGCCGTCCAAGCCATCCACCCTCAGCGTTCACGGATAGGATCGGGTCAACGGGGTCCACACATGAGGACAGCTCCTCCTCTGAGCACTTCCGAGCCAAGGTCCTGAGGCAGAGATCCTCTCTGCTCCACTTGGAGGGCCCCTCCTTCCTCTGCCGTCTGAGCTGCCCCACCCCGCGGTGTTCTCCCCTCGGTCCCCCATCGTTCTCTCAGCCTCTGTCTTGTGCTCTGGAATCATGCCAACGGGCACTTAGATCTTCACAGTGTTTCTGTCCCTGTTCCTTCTAAAGTCAGGCAGAAAGGGAGGGGAGAACACAGAGAACCAACCAGATCAACGTTCTGAGGTCTGACACAGGCACATGATGTATATGTATATACCTGCACATGTTTCTCTGCCGGGGAGACTCCTATTCATCCATCAAGACTCAACCTAAACGTCGCCTCCTCAGGGAAGCCGCAAGCAAGGGCAGCGTATACTCTCCAGAGCCGGTGCTGTTGTCTGGGGTGTGTCCTTAGGACCTTTCTGTATGAGCATAAAGGCAGACACACAAACACAAAATAAATGGCAAAAAGTAAATCTAAGCTATCTCAGATGACAGACTTTGCACTTTTAGTACACACTGATAGAAGAATTGCACGACACAGGGATGTTAGGAATTCAGCCACATTGTATAGGTATTTCCTATCGGACTGATCACAAGAGCAGCTGCAGCCATTTGCAGACCAGCCATCCATACACGGTGGGCGTTTCACTTATTCCGCCTTTAGAGGGCGACAGGTGTGCATTTGAATCCGGGACCTTGTACTTGCTCTCCTAGGATCTGATGCCCCAGCTTGGGAACCGCTATAGAGGAGGGAGGAGGGGGCGACTACCCTTGCCTGTGGCTTCCCTAAGGAGGGGATATTTAAGCTGGGTCTTGGTGGATGAATAGGAGTTTGCCAGACAGAGAAAGAGAGAAACATCAGTTTGAACAGAGGGAAGAGCATGTGCAAAGATACTGAAGCATAAAAGGGCCTGTGGGCAGGAGTTCAAGCTCAGAATAAGAATAGCTGATATTTACTGCATGCTCATTATGTGACCGAGGCCTCCATGTAATATTTTTAGTTCATCTTCACAGAAAGCCTATGAATGAGGGGGAGTGCCACCAGGGGCCTGCTCCAAGCAGGGTCCTCAGCCACCTGGGGTAAGGCCGGCCCAGCCAGCCTTGCCTGAGGAAAGCTCGGGTCCTACCCCACTGTCCTGCCTTTGGCCTGAGAGCTGTGTGGTTAACTGTGTCAGATACCAAAGGCACCTCAGAGGGCATGAGGAAAGGACCTCCCAGGCCAGGTGATGCGTCTTACCTGCCCACCTGGACCTATGCCCAGAGCTCAAGCTCCCTCCTCCACGCAGGAAGCCCAGCAGGAGACAGACTGCTCACTCAAGGGGGTCACTGGGGCCAGCTTACTCAAGGGACTGTCTACAAGGTGGAGGTGGCGCTAAGGAAACCTTCAAGGGATGGCGGAGGCTCCTGAGCCGGGAGACATCTGGAGGCCCCATCAGCCCTGGGCCTGACGTTGCAAGGGAGGGAGCTATGCAGGAGCTGGAGAGAGTCGTAGCTGTGGGAGGGGCCACAGCAGCTGGACTGTGGCTTGAGGAAGACGCCAAGGGCAACCACAGCCCACCATGGAGGGAGCGGGGAGCTGGCAATGAAAGCTTCACCCTCCCTCTCGTCCTGCCCTCCTGTCTCCCTCCGCTGCCTCCCATTGGCTGAACCCCCAGGAAGCCAGAGGGCCAGGGAGCTGTTGTTACAGCCGAGGAGGCCGGCCTTCCGGAGCACAGAGAGGGAAAAGAGGATCTTGCAGAAGCAGTAAGTACCCGGTGTGACTCTGGGTCAAGGCCACCCTGCTTCTTTAACACACCCGCAAGCACAGGGGCTCATCACCCTCAGCCTCTGCGAGTGAGCGTGGGGCAGGTCTAACTGGTTCTGTGAAGCTGAGCTGGTTTTACTGAGAAATCAGGTGACCCACTGGGCTCAGAGCCCTGAGTTTAATTCCTGGCTGCTTGCTGGCTGTGTGACCTTGAGCAGGTTCCTGGAGGTGCCTCTCAGGGTCCTCGTTGGTATGACGGGGACAGTGACAACCACCATCAAGGTTCCCACGAAGATGAAATATGATAGGTTTTCCCCACTCCAAGCCCTATTCCTAGTGGGTTTCTAAATACGCTCTCATTGAACTCTCCCTCCGTCTCTGTGTGACATCCGGATCATCGCCGGTATTTCACAGAGGAGGATGCTCAGGAAGGGAGGTTAGATGACTCACCTGATGTCCCCTCCACAGCTAGTCAGTGGCAGGGCTGAAGCCTTAACCACTGCACAGGCCGCCCCCTGTGATAAGTGACACCAGCTTCACAGAGAGCCCGAGACACGCACGCTCGCCAGTGGTGCTTCATCTTCTCAAAATCATACTTCACAGAACAGTCGACACTATGGTCGTGACTTGGTGTGACGACGGACGGTAACTAGTCTTATCAGGGCGATCATTTTGTCATGTAAATAAACGTCAGGTACTATGTTGTACACCTGAAATGAATACAATACCGTATGTCAACTATACTTCAATGAGAAAAAGCAACTGCCAAAAAAAAAAAAAAAAGTAAAACATGCTAGATTTGGTTACGACCCCTAGTGGACCACAGCCTGATTCAATGTTTTCCTTCCCCTCTCCAGGGCCAGTCACTGCCAAGAATTGGGTGTTTATCATTTTGTGGTGTGTACTGATACATTTACCAATGTATGCATCAATAAACAACATTTGTTGTTTTGCATATTTGAAACTATAAAATAAAATAAATTCAAGAAAAAAATAATACTTCATAGATGGAAATGAATTAATAACTGGTGTACCTCCTACCTTCCAGGCCCTTTCCTTGAAGTGACTTTAGCAGTTGGGGTTATCATCCTCAAGGATGGGGAAACTGAGGCCCAGAGAGGTGAAGTGCCTTGTCTCAATCCTACTTTGGCAGTAAGTTTAATTTTAGGAGGTGGCTTTGCTAATTTTGGGGAAAACAAACCCTGCCTTGTCACTCCATCTGCTCATGGGATTATTAGCTATGGCATATTTAGAGGTGAGAAGAAAATGGGCAGTGTTTCAGAAAAAAAAAATGCTATGCTCTCCCTCTAAGGGAAAAAAAAAATACTTGGAATAAAATAAAAGACCTACCTCTAAATTTTTCAACTTTTTTTTTCTGGAATGTTCTATTTCTGACAAGGAGTGAAAGCTTTAGGGCCTGCTGATGACAGAGGGAGGCCGGGGAAGCCAGACATGGGCCAGATGGAATGGGCACCATGTCCTTCCTGTCCCTTTATTAACACCTAGGACAGGATGACCTGTCACTGTGAGCAAGGAGGAGGGAGAAAAATGAGCCAATTCGTTTCTAAATGGCTCTGTAACTCCAGGGTGTTATCGAGCAGAGACAAAGGACACCCCATAATTCTTGGGAACGGAATCAGGATCTCCAGCAAGCAGGCACACACCCCGTTTGGTCCGCTGGAGCCTCCCGCCACACTGGGATCTGTGCTCCATAAATACACGGAGAGATCGATCGATCTCCTGGCGCCACAGTTTGCCCTTGCCGTTATTGATTGCCTTCTTAGATGAGTGGAGACTTTTGGACCAGAACTAAGCTCTGTGTCTCTTTCTTGGAAGTCTTTGCGGTGCCAAGAGTTCGGCCAAGAGAGCAAGCGGTCTCTGTGCTCTTCTCAGAATGCTGCCCAGCAGTTTTGTCCTGGTGTGGGGAAATGGGAGGCTGTCTGCCCCTGGGACCCTCAGCTTTCCAGAAAGAGTCCAGTTCGGGAGTTTTCCCAGGGGGAAGAAGAAAGTGGCTTCAGCTGACAGTTTCTGTATAGGTGTTATGCAAAGAGTTGCATAAAATCAGCCCCAGTTATAATTCTCAGAAGCATGAATGCAGAGGAGGTGAGAGAGCCCCTTGCAGAGTTTCTCAGACTTTAAAATGCATGAGTCACCTGGGCATCTTGTTAAAACGCAGACTCTGATTCATTGGGTCCGGGTGGTCCTGAGGTCTTGCATTGCTTACAAGCTCCCGGCAGACCTGGTGCTGATGCTGGCCCTGGGACCACACTTGAAATGGTAAAGGGCAGACCCTGCCCTCTCTCAGGCTGTGCTTTTGAGTCTTTTCTGGCCTTCAAGGCTGCCTTTAATTTCTTTATTAACCCATTCACGACATTTATTAGCTTCTGTATGCCAGGCCCTGGGCTGGGCTCTGGGAACAGCAGATGAATAGAAGCCAGTGCCCGCCCTCGAATGACTCACCGTTGGGTGGGAGAGTCACACATTCAACGAGCATTGCTAACGCAACCTGATGAGTGTCCTGCCACGGGGCTGGAGGCCCTGTGGTGAGAGCCCTCCCAGGTGAGGGGCGGCTGATTCTGCTGGGGGGCCTCAGGGAGGCGATATGGAAGCTGGATATGGAACCAGGTGTTGGAGCCTTCCACATACAGAGGCGGAGGCGGGTGGAGTGAGTGTATGAAGGTCTGGAGGTTTGAAAGTGTTTGCAGTGCCAAGAAAACAGGGCTGCTGGACGCCGATGCCCCCAGCTCAGAGATGTTGGCTCGGTGGACCTGGAGGGCTGAGCCGGCTGTTACCACCAGGCTGGGAGCTCTTTGAGGTCACGGGTCTCCACTGGCTTATCTCTACACTCCCAGCGCTGGCAGACAGCGCCCAGCAGACACCTAATTAGATGGAAAGGAAGCTGATTGGTTCACTTTCGGCAGAAGCGCCCTGACCTTACTGCACAGCAGCATCTCCCGGCGGGCTTGTTCAAACAGATTCGTGGCCCTGCCCTCCGAGTTTCTGATCCCATAGGTCTGGGTTGGGGCCTAGAATTTGCATTTCTAACAAGTTCTCAGGCCGTGCTGCTCGCCCAGGCCCCGCCCTTTGAGAATCCCCAGTCATCATTCCACATCATTGTTTTCAGGGGAGTAATTAACTCCTCCTGGAGGAGGGGAGCGGCGGGCTCAGAGGAGGCACCGTGGGTCCATGCAGAGAGCACGTCTGGAGCTGGGTAGAGTGAGCTGAATCAGGTTCTGTGCCTGCGTGAACTTCACGTAACCTGCCTTCCCTTTCCCCTTCTGTAGAATGGGCGCACTCACACCCATCATGCATTGTGGTAACAGGGGTTTCCTTCTCCTCCACAAGGAAAGAAACTTTAGATTGGGGCATCGCAGGACAGAAGACAGACATTCCGTAATAACTGTCACAGGACTCTAGTAAAGTTTCAGGTGAAACCCAAAGCCAGTCCAGCTTAAGAAATAAAGAAACTATTAGCCTATAAGACTCAGACGGTTGGGTGTCTGGGGATAGGGGGTGCCTGGATCCAAGAATTCAAAAGATGCCCTCAGAACTCTCTCTTTCCATCTTTTGGCTCAGATTTCTTCATATGGGCCCCATTCTCAGGCAGACTCTCTCTGTGGCAGCTAAGATGACCCATGCAGCTCCAGATTATTGACCCCAGAGAAAAGAGCGTGTCTGTTTCCCAGTAGCTCTAGCGAAAGCCCCAGAGAGTCCTTGATTGGCCCGGTGTGGGTCACGCGCCCGTTCCTGAGTCAATCACTGGGCCTGGGGGGGTGGAGAGCTCTGAGTGGCCAAACCTCCGTCATAAGGCGGCTCCTGGGAAAGTGCGTGTGGGGGGAGCTGTTGAGGCCGGTGGAGCATGGGGTTTCCCCCGGGGAAGGTGCTCTGTGGCCAGAAAAAAAGAGACAGGGAGAGTACGCCGGGCACTTTAAAACTGCCTCGATTTTAAAGCATTCCATAATTTAGAATCTTCAGCATTTTAGAATTCCTCTCACTCTGCCTGGCTGAAAGAGGTTTTAAAAAGACTGATAAGGACTTAGGAGCATCTCACATTGTAACGGTAGTGACTACTCATGTGGCACTTAGGGACGGCCAGGTCGTGTTTTACACATCGATTCACGCATCCTTTCCAAGAACCTTATGTAGTAGGTACGATTCTTATTTCTTTGCTGACGGATGAAGAAACTGAGGCACAGAGAGATTGAGCAACTTGCCCAACATCACAGAGCTAGTGAGCAGCAAAGGCAAGTTTGCAAACTCAGGCAGCCCAGTGGTCTGTATGCCTAACTGCTGTGTGCACCGTCTTTTGCGAATCTTGAAATCTTATTACCGGGAAATTCTTAGAGATGATCTCAACCAGCACCTCCCGCATCCCCACCCCCCTTTTTTTTTTTCAGAAATTGAGGCCAAGAGAGGAGGATTCATCTGCCTCTGGTCACGCACCTCGGCAATGGCACAACCAGGATCAGGACGTTGGCCCTTGAACTCTGAATCCAGTGCCTTTTCTGCTATCCTGGCCCTCTCCTGCCTTCTGCTGGGCTTTCTGGAAATAGTCCCTGTTCTAAGAATGTGAAGATATCAGCTTTTACCACTCCCGTGGCCATGACTGGACTGTGGGCTGTGAGCTGCTCATCTTGGCATCCCGGGGAACTGGCCCCGGGTTCGGTACTTGTGGGCGCTCTCTCCGTATGCGCATTTTTTGTAATACCAGAAAGTGTTTCCTTACGTGTAACCCAGCCCAACTCTATTTCTTTGGTTCAGACCGTGGGGAGACTGGGCGCTCTGGGGCCAACGACAACCTGAGCATCGTGGATGAGCCATGCCAGCTTCCTGCGGTCAGCACGGCTCCGGAGTGCCAGTTTCCTTGCTTTCCAAGTGGGCTCTGAGGACGGCCAGTACCAGCATCTCCCGGGAGCTCCCTACAAATGCAGAGTCTCAGGCCCCACCCCGCCCTGTTGAGTCAGAATCCGCATTTCCACGTGACGCCCGGCTGATTCGTGTGCGAGGCCTCATTGTCTACCTGCCTCTTCACCCATCCTGCAGAGAGGAGAAAGGAGACACTAGGTGGGGGTGTTGCCCAGGCGGAGGCCAAAACGAACAGGTGGGATCTCCCAGGCGAAGATGAGGAGTGGCTCAGCCAGCCGAGCTTTGAGCCGCAAATGGAATGGGTGTTTTGGACTTCACTGTCCTGCTGTCTGCATCCATCCATTTCCCAAGTCCCAGCAGCTCTGGGATGTTTCAAAAAATTAAACTAACCCTAAGGATAAAGATGTCCCCACAGAGAAGATTCAGAGAAGGCGCCCCAGGTCCTGTCGCCATCCTGAAAGCCAGGTTAATTCTCCTTAGAGTTGAGGATACAGACGGTCCAGGTGGCCCAGCCTGGAAGTGGCTGACCTGGAATCCCACTGGAGGAACTTTGGCTCCACAGCCTGTACCCATCCGCCCCTCTGCCCTGGCTCCGGAAAAGTCCTGAACACCAAGCATGTTGTTAGAAAGAGTGTCCAGTCCCACTGGGGACATCTTTGAAGTTCATTAGACTGTAAAATTCCTGGCCTTTTGTCCAAAAATCTTGCCACTGGGCATTGTAGATCCGGACATCATTCTCTCTCTCAAAGCTCTGCTGTTTTTAGCTTTCTTTCTCACCCGGGGATGATAGTCTTCCAGTCCCTCCCTCTACCACTAACTAGCTGTGTGACCTTGGGCAGGTGACTCAACCTCTCTGAGCCCCAGTCTCCTCATCTGTGAGGCGGGGATGACAGTCCTTGTCTCGCATTTGTTATGAGGATCAAAATCAAATGTCATTATAAATCGAAAGTGCCTTCTAAGCTGCAGAGCGCTGTACAAAATGACATGTGACTAGGGATTTGGGGCATTAAGAGATAAAAAGTAATTTTTTTGGAGCAGGAGAGACAGCTATTGAGACCAACGTCATCTGGCTACAGAGGTCCCCTCACTGTTCTCTCAGCGTCCATTCCTGTCGCACAATCCATTCTCTACACGGCCGCCAGAGTGATATTTTAAAATAAAAAATGGGTTTATGACCCCTCCCCACCTGCCCTTCAACCCTTCAATGGTTTCGCTCTGCCTTAGAATGAAAGCCAGTTTCTTACCCTCAATTACAAGACTTAGCGCTGCCTGTTCCCACCTTAATGCCTCCTACTCCCCCTCGTTCCTTCCACTCCTTGCCGTCTGTCCCGCATTCCCACCTTAGGATATCTGCATTGGCTGGTCCCTGAGCCTGCTTTTTGCATGGCCAGCTCTTTTATCACTCAGACCTCAATTCAAATGTCACGTCCTCAGAGGGCCTGCTCGGGGCCAGCAGGTCTCAAGCAGCCATCCAGCCTCTCTCCTAGCATGACCCATGATTTACAGTCTCTGCATGGCGCTTCTCGCTGTCTGATAGCTCATTGGTCGATGAGTTTCGTCTCCCCGGCTAGAACAGAAGCAGTGTTCGAGAAGGAATCCTGCCGGCCTTGCTCACCTCGTCTCCCCAAGACCTAGGACGATCGACGGCTGGCACATAGTAGGCACTCCATAAATTCCTGCTGAATGAATGAATCTACCGTCCTGGCTGCTGGGAATACTCCAGACCCAGGAGGAAGGGCCAGACTGCTCTCCTGGCTGCGAGAGCCACACACAGCTGTGCCCACGTGCACACACTCCCGTGCGGGGTGGGGACGCCGCCATCCTGGCCCTTTGCCTGCTGCCTCCGAGGGACCGGAGGGACTGGAGGGAGACACCTGCTTTGCCAAATGGCTGCATGAAAGCACATGTTTTCTCCGAAGCCTGTTAATTCCTGCGAGTTGGGAGAATAATTAAATCTCATCTTATAATAATTCGGTGTTATCCTACACTTTAGATTCTGATGTAATTATTAAGCAGGATGGAAAAATAAAACATCCAAATACTGTAATTAACTTTCAGATCAGAACACATGCCGCCCCGGGGAGGGCTGACACCTCTGGGGCAAGTTGCTTTTCTCTTTTTTCTTTCTGCCACTGCCTGCCCATCCTTGCCTCCAACCCCGCTTCCCTCTGTCCATCTAGACGTGCGTGCTTTAATCTCTCTGCCCATGTGGTCATCAGATACTCACTGAGCACTGCTGAGGGAGGGGCACTTTCCTGGAGAATGAGAGGGAGAGAGAGTGCCTCCTCATCCTGCAAGGCTTAGCACAGAATCCCCTCTCTGTCCTGGCTTCCTTCTCCTCTCCACTCTCCCGGGAGTTCGTTACTTCCTCCTCTGAGCAGCTGGGCACTCCGTGCAAACGCTGCATAGCATTTGCACTAGAACCTGGTGGAACACGTCAGATGTTCACGTGTCAGTCTCCCCCACCAGCCTGTCTGCACCTGGAATGCAGGATCGCTCCTGTCTTTTATATCCTCGTAACCCAATGCTAGAACCGAGCCTGCTACTTAACAGGGGCTCAGTGAATATTTGTTGAATGAATTCCAGTTCTTATTCATTTCTCTTCTCCAGGAACTACCCCTTTGTCATGCTCGGGGAACATTTGTAGGATGATTGACCAAGGAGCTCTCTTCAGAGATGGAGAAAGAAAGAGAGTGGGGTGTGGGAGAGGGAGGAGAGAAGCGACACGGAGGCCAGAAGGAGAAAGGAGGACTGGGGGTCTGTATTAGGTTGCGAGGACTGCTGTCACCAAGAACCACAGGCTGCGGGGGCCTAAACAGCAGAAATTTATGCTCTCCCAGTTCTGGAGGCTTGGAGGTCTGTGATCGAGGTGTTGCGGGCTTGTCTCCTCGGAGGCCTCTCTCCTGGGCCTGCAGATGGCCGTCTTCTCCCGGTGCCGTCACATGGTCGTCCCTCTGTGCATGATTTCTTCTTCTTATAAGGACACCAGCCATATTGGATTATGGCCCACCCCAGTGACCTGACCTCATTTTAACTTACCTCTCTAAAGACCCTGTCTCCAAATCCAGTCACATTCTGGGGTACCAAGGGTTAGGACTTCAACATACTAATTTTTTTAGGGACACAGTTCAGCGCATAGTGTGGGTTCAAATTCCCTCCTGTTACTATTATAAGGGTGACAACTGGGCCAAGAGACTCTGAAAGAGGAAATCCACAGTGGCTTCGGTTGCATGGCAGCGGGGGGAGGCTGGCGTCCCCGTCCGGGTCCTGGCTTCTCCTTGCCTCCTCCCCTCCGTCTCTGACACGGGCCCGCGTCATTCTGGGCACTTCTCCGGCTTTGCCACGAGGGGGCGACAGAGCTCTGAGCGCCAGCTCCACCGCAGGAAGCCGGTCCTGCGGGGCAGACCAGCCAGGTGCCATCACCTGGTCTCTGGGGTCGCGTTGCGGACCCGCTTGGGGGGCAGCAGAGTGTGGGAGCAGAAGCCCTGACCTGTCCTGGGTGGGGCGGGGCGCTCGGCGGGTGTCCTTGGGCGTGTCACTCATACACTCTGGGACGCCGCATCCAAGGAACTGAAGGACTGACTTTCCCCGTCTCGAACCACCTTCCTGCTCTGGCTTCTGCGAGGGGCTGCTGAGCCGCCACGTCTGGCTGCGATCTTCAGCCGCCACGGAGGATTAAAAATAGCGGCACGACGATCACAACTTGTTTGGGTGCCCTCCCACCCCCATTTTTGTGCATGTGAATTTCTTTTCTCCCGAGTTAGAGAAAGACTCCTGATACCATCGGGATTATCCCATAATGCTTAACGACGGCCTCCTGGCGCCTGGGCTGCAGATTACGTTAAGCTCTTGCGAACCCGCTGAGCGGATGATGGAAATTGGCGCGGGGGCCCATCCACCCCCCTCCCTCCTGGCAGGGCTGTCGGAGAAGGGGCTGTGAGGCCTATCCTAGGGGTGTGAGACAGCAACAGAGGGACAGGGATTAACAAGGAAAGGGAGCTGAGTGCCTCTGTGTGCCAGGCAGCGGCTGCTCTCTCTACAGATGCCCTATGAGACGGCACCCTTGGAAGGAGCACCCAGGGAGGATGCTCCGCTGGTTCCCACCTGTCTCCGCCTCGAACCTACTGTCAGCCACTCCTCCAAGGAAACTGAGGGGAGTAGGTTTCATCTCGTAGGTCAACGTGGTTTGATTGGTCCTGGCTGCCAGGGGTCATGTCGAGCAGCGCTTGGAGCCACATTGAGCTCTTCCAATCAAGAAGGTTATGATTGATTAGTGATGTCTGCCATGGCCTGGAGTGGGAGAGTGGCAGTGTAAACGCTACTCATTTGTCACCTCTGGACTAGATGAGCTCTAGGGCTCATTCCAACTCTATCTTATTAAATCCTAGGGATGTTCATTCTGCAATCAAAGCATCCATAATATTTTTCTGACCGTGGCTTCTTACCGAGTCCTTCAGACATCGTTTTCCATCAAATGTTGCTGGTGAGGAATGTGTATAGTGGACCCATAGTGTGCCACCCAGCTCTCCCCGTCAGGCTCGAGGCTCCCATTTCTTTCCCCCAGCTGCCAGGACTGGAGGAGGCTGATGGCTCACAGCTGTGTCCCTTTCTAGGCATTACACTCGACTGAAGGGAGAGACCTTGTCCTAGATCACGCCCCCCTCCCTGGGGGCCACCCGCATCCAGTGACCCGTCCATTTAGGAATACAAATACAGAGCTGTCCCGGTTCTGTAGTCATCAGTAGCCGAGCTCCTATAATACTGCATCCCAGCTCAGTTTTTCCCTCTGCCTGGTCCTGCAACCTGCACTTCCTTACAGGGCTCCCAAGAAACAGCCTACAGGCACGTCTCCATCTCAGAGTCGGT